AGCTCCTTCCCAAAAAAAAAAAAAAAAGGCCAAAGCCACCCGACCGACCTCGGCGTGCGGGGAAGCAAATATAAAATCCACAGCCGGCTGCTCAAACTCGCTCGCAGGTGGGAAGCGACGTTCCTGGGAACGAAGCGGTAAATCTCGTCTCGTTCTCTGCTCCGCCGCCAGCGGGATTCACCTGCCCGGCGCTGAGTGGGGGCTCCCGCTGCCCGCAAACGAGGAACCGGCGCCGGGCTCCCCTCCGAGCCCCATCACACTGAGCTGCCCGCTCCGGGAGCCCGCAGGAAGGTCCAACCGGGTGGCGGGGGACGAGCCTCCTCCTCTCCCCTCGCCCGGGCGCTGCCAGGCTTCCAAACTCACCGCGCTTACCGCGTGGTAAAACACACCACGGAAAACGACCCCGCTATTGATGATTGATACGGAACCATAACGAGAAAAAATGTTCCTATGGATCAGCTGTTTCTCAGGCAAATGCCCCAATTAAAACGTACAAGTGCTCCGAAGTCAAGGCAGTCAAGCCATTGCAGTGAGTTACACTCACAAGCAGAGGTTGATTTTTGCAGTAAGTAATGCCAGGGAGCTGTATTTTAATAAATTTGAGGTGCCTTTCTAAAATCTTTGCCTTTTTTTTTTTCTGAAATTCTATTAGAAGTCACCATTTTATTCAGCCACAACTTCATGTAATCACTGGGATGGCATGGGAAGTGTGTTTTATGATCCACAGAACATTTCCTTTATATTTTGAATGGCTTCATTCTGTACCAGAATGCAAGGCTGGATACTTGGAAGATTTCTATGGAACAAACTAGAAACATTCACTTCTTGAATAACTAAATCACAGCAATTTTTAAACGCTGAAATTCTATTAGAAGTCACCATTTTATTCAGCCACAACTTCATGTAATCACTGGGATGGCATGGGAAGTGTGTTTTATGATCCACAGAACATTTCCTTTATATTTTGAATGGCTTCATTCTGTACCAGAATGCAAGGCTGGATACTTGGAAGATTTCTATGGAACAAACTAGAAACATTCACTTCTTGAATAACTAAATCACAGCAATTTTTAAACGGGTGCCAGTTTCTAGCTCCCCAGGTACCTCCCTGCCTGGCCAGACAGACTGATGGAGGCTCAAGTGGTTGTCCCCTGCCAGCTGCCACCTCCTGCTAGGAAACCCACCTCCATGGCTTCCACCAGGAAGCACCAGTAAAATTCACGTGACCCTGATGAATACTGAGACTGCATCAAATCAATATTTCCTCTTGGAAATTTTTTTTCTTCAAAGCCTTATTTAGCCATCCCTACTAATCATAGAATGATTTAAATCCTGCAACAGTCCTCTGGTAGGTCTATGACAACTTGCCTGAAGAGCAACTCCTTGCCTTTCTGCATAGTATTTACTGGCACCCTAAACACCATTCACTTAAATAATAATCACACTTTGCTTTTCCACCCAAAAGCTCAGTGTGCTTCACGCAGTAAGCAAGCATCATTCTTTCTTTTCACGTATGGCCTTAGGCCAGGTGGTTCTGCAGTGAGTTTCATTCCCACCTTGCCAGTGCTTCACCTGCCCGGCCACACGAAGGCAGGGAAAGGCAATCATCACAGACATACCTGAGGAACCAAATCCAGCCTCTGAAGTCTTCCTGTCAAATCCCAAGAATGGGTTAAGCTCCATCCTCCGCGAGCCAGGCCATTCTGCTACTTTGTGCCCTCTGCAGCAGGATTGATTAGAAAACTCCTAATGGATAAACAGAATCAAAACAGAAGAAATTTTTGTAGCAAATTACTCGTGACAAATCATATTTGAAAAACTTTTACTTAAGTTTTTATTTAAAAATACCCAGTTCATGTTAAGTGAGTTTTGTTTCTTAGGTATAAAAAATAAGTAATAAAAATGAAAAGGAAAGGCAAATGCATTTAAACTTAGTTCTATTTTAATAAATCTAAGGTTGTTATTATAGTAAGTGTTGCTGAAGTGAAGACAGTTTTAGCTTAAATGTGTCCCTCGATTTATAACATTAAACCATCAGTTCTACTGTATTTACTATGCACCAAATTTTATTTTATACGTAGCAGCTGAACGCTGAAGTGCTGGTATCTTTGTATTAAATTAAAGTAAGGAATAAGGAACACGAGCGTGTTTTTCACAGTCTTAAGTTAGAGTAATAACAAGACCCTTTTATGTTCTCCTCTTCTACTAAAATTATAATGGGGGACTATTGTGCTCTGCACTGACTAGCAAGTACTCTGTGCAAATCACTTTGCTCTTAGGATCGTAACAACGTTTGAAGTCATTTATTGATTCAATCCTGTCAGCAAAAGGGACTTCTCCAGCGCAGAAGCTACCACCAGCCTGCACTCCTACCCCCAACAGGTGATGAGAGGCAGGAATATCACAGGGAGGAGCTCCCTTTGCAGTTGCTCATCCTGCAGCATCATCCCCACCAGCCATTCTCACTGAAACCAGGGAAACTATTCAGACACTTAAAGGCTGTATTTTGGTGATGACCACAATATTTTGCTGTAACCATGCATGCAGCCACCACAACACCATCACTCAGATATCACATTAAGCTGCATGGCAGATAGGTAACTATCTTACACATAGGCAAACTGAAACGGGTTGTTTTTACGGAGAAATCCTAAGGCATTTCCATAGCTTTCCACTTTCAAGTCAGATTTTGGTAGAGAAGATTCTCTCTGGTGTAGGATAAGCCAAAACACAGGAGCATTTGTTCTGGCAACAGGACTTTTCATCACTTTATCCACATGACTTCACCCCTAAGCCATCCCCTAGGAGATGGTGGCAGGGAGAAGCTCTGAAGTCCCCTTCCTGGCTCCTGAGCACCTTCCCAGGGTGGCCAGAAGGAGCCTGGAGGGACCATTGGATGAAACCAGCCCAATTCCCCCTGAAGGGACAGTCACCTTTGTCCTCTCTTAGTCCCATTCTCATATCCCAGTGTTAGCCCAAATTCTGCTTCGATATGAAATGCAGGAGGGTCGCTGCCTGAGGAGGTGATGGTGACTGGCAGCAGATGATGCTTTAAGCAGACCCTGAGACTGACGGGGCTGGCCATGGGACACTGCTCCTGCTGTCGCTGGACCATGTTTTATAGCAACCCATGAAATCCCATAAGCGATTCCAGCACTGCGTAGCTGATGACATTTAAGAACATTTCTCCCTGTAATTTTTTTAAATGACTAGCAACTCCATTATTTCACTAACCAAAATACTTTCTAATGGCTGCTTGAGGAGCCTTTAATTCATACCCTGCTGTTTGGAGTTAATCCATTCAGAAATTAAAACAGTGCAGGTCACCTTTGAAAAGGAGAAAGCTGCAAAAATACTCAATTTTACACACACAAAGCATATGTATGAGACATTTACTTTGAGTTGGTAGCAAAAGCGCTGTAACATACTTGATGTGACGCAGTGTTCCTACCATATTTAACCAACGTTCACCTCTGCCCTAAATCCTCTGGCAGAAATAAGTCCTGGTCAGCACTCTATTTGTAGATTATTGTCAGAGTTTGGGTGTTTTTTCTCATTTTTCTCATTAGACTGACATGTCTTTTTAGTCACAGGGGCCAGTTTTGCTCCTGCTGATAGAAAGGAAATGGTTCTGCTAATGACTCTGGTGAAGTCCAGGACCTCCACTCCTGCGGTGGCGCGGGCAGCGCTGCTGCTCACAGCTCACAGGCAGCTTCAAGCAAATTCTGGGGCTGAGGGTGCCTCCCCGGGCACCTGGAAATGCTGATGGCATTCTGACTGGCTTCTGAAAACTGCATTATCTTTAGAAAAAAGGTGAGGGGCAGAAGTGAATGTTGGATGTAAACAAGCAAGCAAACAAACAAACAAAAAAAGCAAAAGAGAGAGATGCTAAAATGTTCACATCTCTGCTTCCAGCACAGTGACCTTCACTGTGGAGCTTCTGCCTCAGAGTAGCTCATAACAACAGGCTGGCAACTGCCAGCCCGGTTGCTTTTAAAATGTCACTGGTTTAACATCAAATCAAGAGGTATAATTGCATTTTTCCTTCCTTGTCTCTACCCCCCAAATTCCAGTGCTGATCAGGCCCAAACCAAACAGACAGTGTGTTTGTGTTCCCATAAGAAGGCTGTAAAAGGTCATAAAAAGCTGCAAGTTCAAACGTCAGGACTGTTTTCAATAGACATGATGACTTTCCTGTTTCCCATCTGCGAGCAGCGGGCTGCACCGTCGTGGAGTTATTCGAGGGTCCAGGGGATGGGCAAAAGTCTAACACAGTGTTTGAGAAAGAACTGATTGGTTTTATGTTAGGAAATTCAGGGTTAAAACTGTTGGACTGTGCTCTCCTTTTGGTTTATTCATCCTTACTCTGGACAAGTGACATTTCCACCAAAAAGCTTCATTTTTCTTTCCATGAAGCTGATTAAGGTAGAAAGCACGCTTCTGCATTCTGGCTAGGCACAGTTCTCACTTTACACAGCAAATGCATTTTTAATTGCCTTTAGTTTCTACTTTATCTAGCTTTCTTATCAGATACTCTTTGTTAAACGATCTAATAGTATGAGACACTCATGCAAGAACATACGGAAAGAGAAGGCAACATATATTCATATTAATGCAACAATAGCTCATCTTCTAGTACACCATGCACACAATAAAATCAAAAGCAGTCAGAAAATCAGATTACTCCACACTGTAAAATTTATCTGAAATTTAAGGCACATAGTTCGTTTTAATAAAAGACATGACGCCTGCTGTCTAACACCTAGACAGGAGTGTAAGATGGCAAGAGAAGGCAACATATAGAAACAGTCATCTGTAAAGTCCATCAGCCC